ATTTTCGTTTTTCAGACAATCATACATATTTAGGATTACTCTTTGGGTCTGTTCCTCTAAATCTATATGAAAGAATTCTGCCTGCACAGGTTCATCAACCATCTCCTCGTGGCTTGGAGCATTTTCCCAAGGTCTCCAAAGAGCCATATTTAGGACACACAAGAACAATCAACACAACAATTAAATCAACAAGTAAACTGAGTATTCAAAGGTCAAAAACACACAAACTAATAAAATCTATGAAAAAACACGGACAGACTAAAGAAAACACGTTTATTCACCGCTACACGGCACTGGCTAAACTGTTTCAATTTTCAGTAGCCACCTGCACTTGTTCGGAGCTCTGAAATACACGCTTTCTCATTGGCTATGTCCAAGCATAGGCGTGCTTTACTCCACGTGGACCGGTGAAACTGCCTTTGATCTTATAGGGGGGATATTTGCTGCGAAATTTGGCGATTATTGCAGCAACAGAGCGTGTTAAATATACTCGTAGATATATAAAACGCACCCGGTATTTCACAGTGTTTCAAGTGACTTCAGATAAAGTATACATTTTCAACATGCATCTTAATTCAAAGAACTGGTGTAATATATCGGCAACGCGACAGATTGCCGCGTCAGCGTTGCTAGGCAACGCGGTAATGAGCTTCGCTACTTTTCTCTCAAGTCTTCAGACAATTTTGGTTTTCAGTGTATAGCATTTATAGCTTGTCTCCACCCTAGACCTACGTCGTATATGTTACACCTTAATGTCGGATATTAAATAACGGGACTAATATAAGCGCACGTCTATATCGCACTCTGGGCGGTTAACGATTGAAGTTTGCTAGCTAGCTCTAATGGAACACCGGCCGATCATCTCGTCGGCTATGTAATGATCGCAATATAAAAGGCTGTATGTGTAACAGTCTTGATGACCCAATGGCCGGCAATAAGCGGTATCCAGAACATGCACGGGCTGCTGAGCTGGAGCAAACGTGTATATTTAATGAGGAATCGCCTTTCATGTTACACTGTGCCTGTATATGGTAGCTCTCACAACGGTATAGATAATTCACGGGCGATCGGGCACGTATGGCGGTTTGATATTACTCGATATTCGTAATATTTGTACGAAACACGGTAGTGGAGTGAACACTGAACCCTAATTGACACCATAACTTGTTTCTGTCAAGCTTCATTTCAGACAACATTAGCCTTGTCCCAACAAGCCATCGAACTAGTTCTGAACTGAACAGAGAATGCCGAGGTCGACATTACCGTTCCAACAGAAAACTGTACTGATCCCGTTAACGACAGTTCGCTGTACCGATTAATTCTTAACTGATTCTAACAGTTCGGGTTCTGAGAAAGAACTGAAAGTTCGAATTCGATAGCGCATGCGCGTTTAAAGAATTTTTGTCAATAAGAATGAACAACTAAATCAACAGACGTGTTTCTCGCGGCTACTATGCACTCATGGGCATGTCTCAACATGCAGTAACATGCAGCCTCATGCGTCCATGTTAAGTCATATAGTGTACCCCCGATAATCCGGCGCCTCCTGTAATCCGACATGTCTTTGAATATGTATTACATACATACGTATTTGACAATCTTCGCTAATGTAGATCACGCAGGTTTGAACAGGTTACAACTTGTACG